AGGCGGGCCGCAGGTCTCAGTTGGACGGTCCCAAGCCCGTGGTTGAGGCGAATAAGATTTTTCTGCTCTTGGAGCGTCTCCATGTGACGAGTGAAAAACGGGCAACCTTCGGCCTGCAGCTGGTGGTTGGCGAGGTTGGGGAGGCTAACAGTGGTGGCAAACGCATCACGTGGGACGCCGAGAGCCCGCTGGAGGAAATGGTTAATTCCCAGCTGACCATGAGGTCATGGAGTCAATTCCAGGGCAGCAACGGCAGGGGCGTGCTGATGCGCGACGCCACGATTGTCTTTCCTCTTGTGGCTGTGAAGGCGGACGGCAAGAAGGTCTGCACAGTCATCTACTCAAAGGACAACGGCGGGACCTGGCAGTTCCCCGCGAAGGGCTCTGCTGTGGAGGACTGCTCCGACCCCAACCTTCTCGAGTGGGAGGGGCAGCTGCTCATGGTTGCCACGCACGCAACCCATCATAAGAGGGTGTATGCGTCCAGCGACGTGGGGGAGACGTGGATGGAGCTGAGCGGCACGCATTCGAACGTCCTGAGTGAGGCCATGAAGGCCGCGCCGACTGGGAGTCGAGTTGACATCGTGACGGCAACCATCGGGGGGAGGCAGGTAATACTGTTTACTGTGCTTGGCCTGTTTGCTGATGGTAGGCGAGGCAAGGACGCATTGCATCTTTACATGACGGACATGACTCGATTCTATCCTCTTGGGCCGATATCTGATGCCGATGGTGCCGTGAAGACCTCCAGCAGTCTGCTGTACGCGAATGACGAATTGTTTGCCCTGTACGATCGGAAAGCAGGCGCAGCTTCGGTGGTTGCTCTCACGCACCTCTCTGCGCAGCTGGAGGAGATAAAGCGTGTGCTGCGGACCTGGGACGCCGTCGACGAGAAGGTGGCGCGTCTTTGCGGCTCCGCCGGCAAGGGAGGAGTCGCGGCCGGCAGCGCCTGCAGCCCGCCGGTGCCCACGGCTGGGCTGGTCGGCTTTTTGTCCGGCGGGGGCGACAGTGAGATCTGGGAGAACGAGTACCTCGGGGCGAATGCCTCGGTGAGTGGAGCCGCAGCGAGGGTCGACGGGGGCGTGAGGTTCAAAGGGGGCACCGCAGCGGGAGAGTGGCGTGTGGGGAATCGATGGAAGAACCACCGCTTCCACTTTGTAAAGGACAACTTCACGCTTGTGGCGACGGTGACCATCGAAACGGAGCCGTCTGGCGGCGGCAGCCCTGTTCCTGTGTTGGGTGTGCGCGGTGGCGGAGGGGAGGCGAGGCTGATGGAGCTCTCGTACACCGCGGACCGTAAGTGGGCGGCGACGTTCAGCGGGGCGACGGCGCAAGTGGGCGGCGGGGCGTGGGAGCGGAACAGGGCGCACCAAGTGGCCCTCGTGCTGCAGGACGGCAGCGGCTCCGCGTGGGTGGACGCCCAGGCGCTGGGGAGCCCGGTGCGGCTGCACGCGGCTGGGGCGGCGGGGCTCGAGGTGTCGCAGTTCGACTTTATGGGCGGCGACCGCGCGGGCACCGGCAACGGCCAAGTGACGCTGACGAATGTGCTGCTGTACAACCGCCCGCTGAGCGCCGCGGAGCTGCAACTGTTCGTTCCGCGCGGCGGGCAGACGGGGGCGGGTTCCCGGGCGGGGGCGGAGGACGGGGCGCCGGGCACCGCGGATTCCGCCGCCCACCCGCCAGCCGAAGCTCCGGCCCCGGGGCGCGGGGAGGAGGCGCCGACGCCCTCGCCGCCAGCCAGGAGGGGCCCAGCGCGAGAAGCGGCGCCAGTGACGCCAATGGCGCAACCGCCCCTTCGCCGGTAAAAGGCACCGGTGACGCAGCTGTCGGCACGCATGTCTCTGTGACGTTGCTGCTGCTCTCGGGGCTGTGGGGCATCGCGGCTCTTTGCTGAGCGCGACGACTGCGGCGCAATGCCCTCAGGTGGAAAAGATTCTCCGCGGAGGTCGATTTCATTGCCGCACGGAAAAAAGGTCTCCACCTTCTTCGTTTTTTTTTTGCTTTATCACCACACCCGACCTTTTTTTTTTCTGTGCGTGTGTTTTCTCTGCAACTTTGCTGGAAATTCCGGGGTGTCGCCGCTTCTCTTTTTTTTTTCTGCTTCAGCGGCCACTCGCTGTGCAGTCTCATGAGTGAGCGGCGAGTTTCCTCCTCTTCCCTGCTGCTAGCCGCCTTCGCGCGGCGGCCTCGCTGTTGTGCGCCTCACGTGCTGCGTGGGAGAAAGAGGTCGAATACGCGAGGAAACATGAAAGGTGCGTGGGCGCGTTGCAAGGCGGTGATTCCTTCTCCTTCTGCGGGCCGTGTTTATATACATCTGCACATACAAGCAACGATATATACTCGCCCACATATATATCTTTATGTATGCGCGGCACCTCGGCCCCGCGGGGGGCGCGATAAAAAAGCAACAAGCCACATAATTGTTGAAGTAATTCTTTTCTTCTTTGTTTTCTCAAGTTTCTTGTTGGGCTTCCACTTGTTTTGTTTTGCTTTTGCTTTCGGAGATGAGCCGTCGCCGCGGTTGGTTGTCGTTTGTGCCGCGTTGACTGTCGCCGAGTGTCTCCGTGTCATGTTTCCTCCCGCTGCCGGCTGCGTTGGCGGCACGCCCTCCTCCCCACTTTTTCCCTGCAGGCGCGTGGGTGCTGCCCGATGCCCGGCATAATTTTGTAGGCAAAGACGCCGCTTCCCGGTTTGGCGGCGCCTCGAAGCCGCGCGGCCCGGCAGCCTCCGCCACACCCGCTCCGGTTGCAGGCGGAGGGGAAGAACGGCGCCCTGCGCCGCGCCGCAGGTGGACCCCCGACTGGCTGGTGATGTGAACGGCCGATCGGCGCTGCAGGGGTGTCACGCGTGCCGTAGTGCCGCCCACGCCCGTGGGTTTTGGCTTCCCCCCGACGCAGCGGAGTTTATTCGGCACCGGAGGGCGGGCCCGCAGCATCCGGCCCCACACACACCACACACGCAGCTGCGGACACGCCAATGGACTTCCCGTTTTTTGTGCCCCTCTCCATCGGGCGGCGGCGGCGCAACGTCGCACAAACACGGGAAATGGGAAAGAAGCGTTGCGCCGGTTTGGGGGACGGAGGAGGAGACGGGCGG